ATAATCTTAGAGGATAAGATTCTCATCTCATCATGCAAACTATCTCAAAGACTGATGGCGGCTTAACATGTATTCCTCATGAGATGGAATGATACAAATCATGCTCTTTGACAAAAACAATACATTATACAGACAAGGATGGATAAGCGAGAACAAAACAAAGTAATGGGCTCAGATTCATAGATAGCGTAACTGTCTCTGGACAGTTTAGCTAATGCCAACAATCCTGATGACTTTGCTTTAACGAACCAATACACTGATCAGTTATCTCGACATTTGTTGCTTAGAAAGAGTATATATCCGAACGAATATATGGATGATTGGTCGACATTTGATGAAACTAAATTACCATCTGTTGAATAATTCTATAGTTACCAAACAGAATTAAAAATGAATGATGTTGTTTATAAACATGCTCTTAATGTGTGGGATAAATCAGGCAGTAAGATGTGTTTGTCATGATCTATACTTGAAGATTGATGTACTATTACTCGTTGATGTATTTGAGATATTTCGAAAGACCTGTTTAAATCAATATGGTTTGGAAGCAAGGTACTATTCCAGTCCCTGACTCTGTTGGGATGCATGATTGAAGAAGACTAATGTTGAAATACAACTACTTACTGATTATGATAAGCACTTGTTTGTTGAGTTTGTTTTGTTTTCTTTACTTTTTAACGCCGCACTCAGCAGTATTCCACCTGTATGACGTCGGTCTGTAAATAATCGAGCCTTGACCAGACAATCCAGTGATTGACTTCATGTGCATCAATCCACGCAATTGGATATCAACCATGTCAGCGAGCCTGACCTCCAGATCCCGTTAGCTGCCCTTAAAACAAGCATAGTCAGTTGTTTATTGAAAAGGGATTAAGAGGTGCCAAAAATTACGGCCAAAAAAAAATACGGAGAAGGATAAGATTCGAGTAAAGCTATCACACACATATTATATCTCGACGCCAATAATTTGTATGGATGGGCTGTGAGTCAACTTAACCCACCGGACTGTAGGCAATGTTGATGTGAGTAAGATTCTGATAAAGAGTACTACTATTAAAAACAACCTGCTGACCCATCTTTAATATAATATGAAAAAGGCTTACTTTGTTTCATATCCAATCGACTCATGTTATATATCTTTAGAGACCAAACTGAAACAGCTTCATGGTGTTGACCTTCGTTGAGTTCACCAGGATGGTATAAATATCTTACACTTACTATGTCTGAAAGTCTTTGTTTAGTCTGTCTTAGACCCTGATACAAATATATATCAAATACAGCCCATGCACGTCTTTAATGTTTGGCAAGTCTAGATTACTGCAGTATCTAAACATGAAGAGAATCACTGGGCTTCCTTTTTATTATATTTTATTAAGATAACTGAACAACTGTTTTTTTTCTGTACGATATGTTCATTTCAGAGACTAGATGTAAGTCTCGTCTTTGTTCAGAAGTCACAGATTTCAAAAGCTTTGGATGGTTTTTACCAATTTATCTTGTTACTTCATTATTTATAATCGCTGATAATCGTGTCACCCGAATTGTACGATTCCGACCATGAGAATTTGTTTATGAATCACACTCAAATAGTGTTGACATTAAAGGAAACAGTCCCCGAAATCGCGCATGCACTGAATGGAAAATATGGACAAGGTATTAAACAATCCGCAACAGCCATCCGTTGTTAATTGATCTTATTTTATTTCAATCCCATGTTGAAATCGTTTAACAATAGCTTCTGTACATGTATTTCTTACATATGGTATTTACTCTATGGGCGAAAATTCTTCCAACAGTCTAATATTTCACGTACTTGTATTAACGTGTCAAATGTTTTCTCCATATACCGTTGGTTAGTTTGATAACAATGTACGAGAAGCATGTGAGTGGGCCGCAGAACTCGTCGTGTGACTCAGCAGTCTGATGAAACACATTACATAGTTGCCATAAAAACAAAATAAGACTACTTTTAGGATATTTGATCCATTATTGTGTGCCAGTGGTCCCTTTGTACTTAGCATACTGTGTTCGGATCAACTGGCAGCCGAATGTTTACACAACATGACCGAGTATTGTGTGCAAGAAGACACGATGACCTAATAGTGTACACACATTCTGAAAGGAGGGTCTCAGCTTGTGTCAATAACTAGGTACGACGGGCACGTGAACGGGTGGCAAAGTTCGCATTTTGAATGACGCAACAGTCAGATATGAAAACTGCTACGATAAGAAAGTATATTTAGGGGGTTGGCCGACCAGTGGTGAGTATATGTTGTTTTGTGGTGTATAACGTAACATATGTATGTTTTCCTGACCAACTGGTGTCTTATGGTAACTTAAGGTGGTACGGTAAGTTCAATATAATTTCACATATACAGCTACCTTCTGGCAGGTTCTAGTTGGTGCTTATACTAGGTACCAGGTTTTATAGTGTTTGCTCATTGAAATACCATCATTCTGACTCATCGCCAGACAGGGTAACAGCACATTTTATACCTTTTAGATAATGTATTTTGCTATAATGCGGTCAGGGATCGACCCACAGATTTACCTCCCCCCCCCCCCCCCCGGGCACATGCTCTTTCCAGGGAGTCGTGAGAGAAAAACTCTCTGTCCAGTATGGAAAATAAATGCGTCCACACATGTTCGCGTGTCTCCTGAAACAACTGTGTCTGTCAATGTGAACTGCAGTCGAAAGCAATCTCGGTTGTGATGTGTCTGCTCAAAACTGATTATGTCCTCATCAGCCCACGGATGTTAATTGCATGTCATATGTCATATTCACTCAGTCTATGCTTTATAGTGCACATGATATGTCAGGTTCCTTAACGTCAGATGACCGCCTCTGTTGTCTAGTGGAATTGCGTCCGCCCGGAGTGCGGAAGGTCCGGGATTCGATCCCCGGCCGCGTCATACCAAAGACGTTAAAAGATGGTACTTGTTGTTACCCTGTCTGGCGCTCGGCATAAAGGGGCTAAAACAAGGACTGGTCGGCTCAGAGTTAGTATACTGTGTCTGAGTGGGGTATTTATGTTAAACTGTGGCATGGTTTCTCAGTGAGCTAGCACTATAAATCGGCATTAGTGCGGACTAGTACAAGCAGCCACACACTTGCTTGCACATCGCTAGCTCAAAACATGTGTATCTTGGAAGCGACGTTAAACCCCATTTCACCTCACCTCACCTTAACGTCAGATTGGCAATCCTACAAGGATGTTCCTGTTCCGAAGGCATTCCGGCTAAGAATTGGCCCCCAACAACATATGCTTAGCGTAAGAGGCGATATGATGTATTGAGTGATCAGGCTTGGCGACTTGGTTCGTGGCATGTCATCGTACCCCAACGGTGCTGATAGTTGATCACAATATCAATCACTGGATTGCATTGTCCAGATTCGCCGAATGTCTAGAACTACCGGTTTACTTTTATCGTTTCCGGTTTATCTCCAATGCAATATAACCATAAACAACTCCCTAAATATACTTCAGTATCCGATTTAAGTCATTTGTAACCACATTCAGGAGTGAAGAAACCTACGACCTGCACTTGCCATGGAGTTGATACATGTAGCCGATGATGGTGGAGATGAGTTGACGATGTTAAGCTACAATGGCCGCAAATACCCAAATTTCCCCGGATGTATGGAGAAAAAAGTTCTGGAGACATTACCATCTGCTGCAATCTGCTCTGACGATATTCTAGTGTGTACTTTTCCAAAGTCAGGTGTGTAGACTACTTATCAATACAGAAATATAATTATGACAAAATCTTCCTCAGGTCAGGAATCACATTTTGCTTACAATCTCTGGTCTACATCAAGATAATCTGAAAATGTGAGACAACCAACCTGACATCATTGGATGTTTCTCTGTGTTTTGTTTTGGGGGATATGGTATGAAAACCATCAGGTCGTTATTCATTATATAGTGAGTGAGTGAGTATAGTTTTACGCCGCGTTTAACAATATTCCAGCAATATCACGACGGGGGACACCAGAATGGGGCTTCACACATTGTACCCATGTCGGGAATCGAACCCGGGTGTTCGGCGTGAAGAACGAAAGCTTTAACCACTAGACTACCCAACCGCCCCTCATTATATGGTGACAGGATACATGTATTACACAGTACATTACTGGTCGTTAAACACAAATGCGATCTCATCCCAAATCAAACACAGACTTTGCTTTGTTTCAGGGTATACATAATTTCATTACATGAATATCACACTAGTGCACTATCATTAGTAGTAAAAACAAATATGTGTCAAGTACAAGGAAAAAAATGGAATCGATTTTTCCAAAGCCATGAAGGCCCCTGTGGTATTTCTATGCAGGCACTCACTGGGTCTACGAGATGGTTTGCCTGCTGGCGGCGGGACAACTCGAACCTGATGAAGTGGCCAAAGGATTTAACTTGATGGAAAATTGCAAAGTTGATGACTACTACAAAGATGTCCCTTCTCCCAGAATCCTGAACACTCACGTGAGGTTCAACGAACTTCCAGAGCAGGTTAAGGTAAATAAACCTAGGATCCTGTACGTGACAAGGAACCCCAAGGACGTGACTGTTTCTTATTACAACCATGTGAAGAAAATATCGAAGGTCTACACCTACAATGGAGAGTGGAAGAATTTCGTCCGACCCTCACTTGAGGGGAAGTGTGAGGGCTTTTCGTATTTTTCTTTGGTCATGCAATGGCAAACATGTACTGTAGCTGATGATCGATATTTTCTTCTTGCATATCACACATTACTTTAAATAACAGTTCTACCATCCGTTGGCTGTGCCAGGGTACATTGACCACGAGTTTAAACCCAAATCCGACATGAGTATCATTCTTGTTTTGTCAGCACCATTTGCTTGGTCGTAGTTTTTATCGAGAAGTTGACGTCACTTTGGGCTTTCGACCGACATTTCTGACACACCATAGACCCAACCGCTTTACCATACGATTTATTTCTGACTATGGATTTGTGACCAGTGTGTATCTTATTTCAGTTGAATATGGTTCCTGGTTCGACTATGTGAAGGATTGGGAGGAGGTGAAGAAAACCACTGACGTCCCAATACTGACGATTAACTATGAAGACATGCAAGAGGTACATGGTTTTGCTATTCTTCTTTTGTTTACAAATAATAGTGTTGAGTGTGATGTTCATTGTCGGGGAAATGGGCTTGATGCCATGTGGATCAATCTCCTTACATCAATGTCTCCAGTTCGAATTCACAAATAAGTACGTATACATTGTATTAAGTCCATTCATGTTGGTCTCAGTTGCTGAAACATCGATAAAAGCGGCATAAAACGCATCTCACTGACTGACGCATTACTTTGGCGTCTTCAAAGCATATTTCGTGACCATGTGAGCCCAGTTTAGTTACTTCATTATAACAGGATCGTGAAAGTTAAATGTGACAAGAGCAGGCACGTTATCTAGCGCTTCTAGTTTTCCCAATGGCATGTGTTCATGTATATGTTTCGTGTGTCCAGTTTTTTAGTCTGTTTGTACAACTGAACGAGCGTTCATGTATATTGTTTAGTGTGTTCAGTATATTAATGTGTTTGTAATATCGTGTGTTCATGTGTATCGTTTCGTGTGTTCAGTATATTAATTTGTTTATAATGTCGTGTGTTCATGTTCAGGCTTTCGGTCTGTTCGGGATATGATTGATGTTTACGTTTTACATGTTCAAAGAATGTATTCCGCGAGATGAAAAAAGTGGCAGCCTTCCTTGGAATTAACAGAAGTGATGAGTTTGTGAAAGAAGTGTGTGATCACTGCAGCTTCGCCTCCATGCAGAAAAGCAGGTCACCCTTCGCCAAAGTCATGTATAGAAAAGGTGAGCATTTATCTCCCAGTGCGCTGTGTCAGTTGGAATATCTAGTGTGAGAATGGATTATCTAAAAGCTGTATGAATCTCACAGTACCCTCTGTGGAATGGAATATCAAGAAAATGTGATTGTTAGTTGCCCAGGATGTTATGTGGAATCAGAATTCTAGAAAAGGTTATATTTGAAATGTGATCCAGTGCGTTCTGTGCAATGTAATATCTAGAAACTTTTAGACAGGGTTGCTCCTTGTCACTAATAGTCATTTACATATTAGGCAGAGGTAGGAAGAGGGTAGGGATTACTTGACATCGAAGAAAGGCATGGTAGCACAGCTCTGCTGTCAAAAGGGGATCCTTTGTTCAGTAACTGTAAAACAACCTTGACCAATTGACTGTTCACGAGAATTCCCTGAGCAATTCAGGAAGCTGATAATTATATATATGATTGTTGAAAGATGCAGATATGCTGCATTTTTGCAGTTACGAAGCGACTAACATGGGTGATTAGATGTTGTGAATTGATGATTCAATCTTTTTGGGTTTACGAAATTCATGTTTTTTTTCATGAGGTGTTAATAATATATATATATATATACACACTTGTATAGCGCTAACATTGACACAGTAACGCATGCTCTGCGAGCTTGTTGGAAGAGTCGTAAAAAGTGAAAGGGGATTTGTTTTTAACTGTCTCTTAAAAGATAATGACTTTGAGATTTTTTCTTTCCACTGATAGATCATTCCGTATCTTTTACCAATTATCATATTGTGTTTGATTATTAATGTTTGACGTGAAGATAAAAGGTTAGACGAGATTAACAAGCTCTAGTACTGTCAGCCCAGCTTGCCTTTGTCCGTATATTTGTTGTCATGCTCCTTATATAAACATTGGAACGATTTGAGATGGTTATTTAAAGGAAGCAATACTACATTCCCATGGGTCGGACGCTTTGTCGGAGACTAACATTATAGATACCAGCAACCTGATATGTTTTTTTTCAAATCGTATATATCAAACATACATCATTACAATATTCTACCATTTGATTCAAGCATTGACTTTTGTTTTTGTCAGGTGAGGTTGGCGACTGGAAGAATTGGTTCACTGTCGCTCAAAATGAGTGGTGTGACCATCTCTTCAAAGAGAAGATGAAGGATTGTCCCTTGGAGTTCAGATATTCATTGAAATAATGGTATTGTGGAGAAGGGAGAGGCGGTAGAAATGGCTAGAGTAGTTTGAGTAGGCAAATTGAATAGCGCGGCATTGCTGGTGGACGACACATGATTGCCAGTGTTTTCCACAATTGGGCACTCTCTTTGTGAAAGAGTATATTATTTCATTGAAAATCATTGTCCATGTATGTACTGTAATGTGAACTGTGACCATAATAAAAGGATTGAAACATTAGATCTACATTTGTCTGCACATCACACTTCAGCAACAAAAACAATGGTGGCCAATGGTGTTTTGAGCATAGAAACTGGGGGAATCGCCGAAGGTCCTCATGTTTTCAGATGAGTCCACGTTCACATTCGTCATGCGAAGGTGGCCATGACAGATTGGGGGTGACTTCCTCCAGCAGCGAGGTGGGGTGAAATGGGGTTTAACGTCGGGTCCAAGAATACTAGTGTGGACAAATGCTGACTTTACAGTGCCCACTAAGATACCATGAGTGTGTGTGTGTTTGTGTGTGTGTGTGTGTGTGTGTGTGTGTGATTGCAGGTTATTACGGGTCATGCACACACGTCATCATCAGCCATAAGGGCCAAGTTCTTACCGGAATTTCGGGGAAAATTGTAATCTATGTGTGTTGCTCGAATTGACTAAGTACCATTGGATTTGGTTTTCAGACTCTGGTCTGTCTGGTTCAGACTCAGTTGTTTACACGTTGCAGTGATATAGCTGGAACATTACTCACTATGGCGTTAACCAACAATCACTCCCTCCATTCTACAATATTAACTTGGGCTGAACCATGCAAGCAAATCATTTAATACGCACCGAATTGAGGAGGGTTGTAAATGATGGACATAGATTTTATCACAGATGAATCACTCCGTATAATACGGAATCGAACCCGGGTCTTCGGCGTGACGAGCGAACGCTTTAACCACAAGGCTACCCGACCGCCCCGAATGCAGAACTGAATGCAGTTAGACATGTCAAGCTCAACAACATAAGGCTTGCGGGTTTGGATATATAGTTGTATAGTATGATGGTGAACCAACTTAAAACTTAAATAAATCCCCAAACAATACCAATCCCCGTTCTATTTCATAATCTTAGAGGATAGGATTCTCATCTCATAATGCAAGCTATCTCAAAGACTGATATCGGCTTAAGATGTATTCCTCATAACATGGAATGATATATATCATGCTCTTTGACAAAAAAAATACATTATACAGACAAGGATGGAAAAGCGAGAACAAAACAAAGTAATGGGCTCAGATTCATAGATAGCGTAGTTTCTGTTATCTTCTCTGGACAGTTGAGCTAATGCCAACAATCCAAATGACTTTGCTTTAACGAACCAATACACCGATCAGGTATCTCGACATTTGTTGCTGAGAAAGGGTATATATCCTAACGAATATATGGATGATTTGTCGAGTTTGATGAAACTAAATTACCATCTGTTGAATAATTCTATAGTAACATATAATTAGCCACCATTGCATAGACATCGCCGACAACTATTTGGAGCAAAATTTACTTTCCAGTAATTAATATGTTGGCATATTAGTCTCACATGTCATCACTACATTATCATAAACTCTGAATCTCTGAATTCCTTTTCAAGGGTCAAGCTTAGGATTAATAGAACCAGATAACATTCTGATATCCGTTTATATGTTTGATATTTGTGATGATAGTATTGTTATAATGTAATGACGAGGTGTTCACACGGGAAATCAAAGTGGCGTTAGTCCCTATGGTCTTTTCATTTATGTACGTGACTGCCACATGTTTAATTGTAATTACATCAATGTGAAAGCATTAAACTGCAGCAGTACTTTGTGCATTCACAGAACGCCATCAATTTCACCAATAAAAGTATATATGAATCTTAAAAGAATGATTAAAGGAAGAAAGCATTTATTTCTAAACCTTATGATTTTTGTAATAAGCTTTCTAATTGCATAAAGGATGTAGAACAAAGAGTTTGTCACATACTTTAGTGTTAAATAAATTATTTCTTAGTGAATGAAAATACGTCATAATCACAGTTCTTACTCTCAAGAATGACACTTTGTGGGTCGCATAATTCTTATATATAGTATTTACTCAATGGGCGAAAATTCTTCCACCAGTCTATTATTTCACGTACTTGAATAAACGTGTCAAATGGTTTCTCCACATACCTTTGCTTTGTACGAGAAGCATGTGTGTGGGCCGCTTATCTCGTCGTGTGACTCAGCAGTCTGATGAAACACATTACATTGTTGCCATAATAACAAAAAAAGACTACTTTTAGGATATTAGATGCATCATTGTGTGTCAGTCGTCCTTTTGTACTCTGCATTCTGTGTTCGGGAAAACTGGTAGCCGAATGTTTAGACAACATCACCGAATATTATGTGGAAGAAGTCACGATGACCTAATAGTGTACACAGATTCTGACAGGAAGGTCTCAGTTTGTGTCAATAACTAGGTACGAACAGCACGTGAACGGGTGGCAAAGTTCGCATTTTCAGTGACGCAACCGTCAGATATGACAACTGCTACGATAAGAAAGTATATTTAAGGGGTTGGTCGTCCAGTAGTGAGTATATGTTGTGTCCTGGTGTGTAACGTAACGTTTGTAAGCTATACGGTAAGTTCAATATTATTTCACTTATACAGCTACCTTCTGGCAGGTTCGTGTTGGTGCTTGTACTAGGTGCCAGGCTTATACCAGTTTTGTAGTGTTTGCTCAATGAGATACCATGCCATAGTTTAATATGGATACGCCAGACAGGGATCGGTCAGGTATCGAACCACAAATTTACCGCCCTCCGGGCACATGCTCTTTCTACGAGTCAGTCAGGGAGTCGTGAGAGAAAAACTCTCTGTCCAGTATGGAAAATACATGCGTCCACACATTTTCGCGTGTCTCCTGAATCAACTGTGTCTGTCAATGTGAACTGCAGTCGAAAGCAATCTCGGTTGTGATGTGTCTGCTCAAAACTGATTATGTCCTCAACAGCCTACGGCTGTTAATTGTACGTCATATGTCATATTCACTCAGTCTATCCTTTATAGTGCACATCATATGTCAGGTTCCTTAACGTCAGATTGACAATAGTCCACAGCTTTTAATGCACATCATGTATGAGGTTCCTCCACTTCACCCAGGCATAACGAGTGATCGTTTTAACTACAAGGATGTTCCTGTTCCGTGGGCATTCCGGCTAAGAATTGGCCCCCAACAACATATGCTTGGCTTAAGAGGCGATATGATGTATTGAGTGATCAGGCTTGGCGACTTGGTTCGTGGCGTGTCATCGTACCCCGACGGTGTTGATAGTTGATCACAATATCAATCACTGGATTGCATTGTCCAGATTCGCCGAATGCCTAGAACTACCGGTTTACTTATATCGTTTCCGGTTTATCTCCAATGAAATATAGCCATAAACAACACCCTAAATATACTTCAGTATCAGATTTAAGTCATTTATAACCACATTCAGGAGTGAAGAAACTTACGACCTGCAGTCGCCATGGAGTTGATACATGTAGCCGATGATGGTGGAGATGAGTTGACGATGTTAAGCTACAATGGCCGCAAATACCCAAATTTCCCCGGATGTATGGAGAAAAAAGTCCTGGAGACATTACCATCTGCTGAAATCCGCTCTGATGATATTCTAGTGTGTACTTTTCCAAAGTCAGGTATGTAGACTGTACTTATCAATACAGAAATATAATTATGACAAAATCTTCCTCAGGTCAGGAATCACATTTTGCTTACAATCTCTGGTCTACATGAAGATAATCTGAAAATGTGAGACAGACCCAACCTGACATCATTGGATGTTTCTCTTTGGTTTGTTTTGAGGGATATGGTAGGAAAACCATCAGGTCGTTATTCATTATATAGTGAGTGAGCGAGTGAGTGGGTGAGTATGGTTTTACGCCGCTTGTTGCAATATTCCAGCAATATCACGGCGGGAGACACCAGAAAGGGGCTTCACACATTGTACCCATGTCGGGAATCGGACCCGGGTCTTCGGCGTGAAGAGCGAACGCTTTAACCACTAGGCTACCCAACCGCCCCTCATTATATGGTGACAGGATACATGTATTACACAGTACATGACTGGTCGTTAAACACAAATGCGACCTCATCCCAAAACAAATACGGACTTTGCTATGTTTCAGGGTATACATAATTTCATGACATGAATATCACGTTAGCAGTAAACACTAATATGTGTCAAGTACAAGGAAAAAATTGAATCTATTTTTCCCAAGCCATGAAGGCCCCTGTGATGTTTCTATGCAGGCACTCACTGGGTCTACGAGATGGTTCGCCTGCTGGCGGCGGGACAACTCGAACGTGAAGAAGTGGCCAAAGGATTTAACTTGATGGAAAATTGCAAAGTTGATGACTACTACAAAGATGTCCCTTCTCCCAGAATCCTTAACACTCACGTGATGTTCAACGAACTTCCAGAGCAGGTTAAGGTAAAGAAACCTAGGATCCTGTACGTGACAAGGAACCCCAAGGACGTGACTGTTTCTTTTTACAACCATATGAAGAAACTATCGAAGGCCTACAACTACACTGGAGAGTGGAAGAATTTCGTCCGACCCTCACTGGAAGGGAAGTGTGAGGGCTTTTCGTATTTTACTTTGGTCACAAAATGGCAAACGTGTACTGTAGGTGGTGATCAATACTTTCTTCTTGCGTATCACACGTACTTTAAGTAACATTTCTACCATCCGTTGGCTGTGGGTACATTGATCACGAGTTCAAATCCCAAATCCGCCATGAGTATCATCCTTGATTTATCAGCACCATTTGCTTGCTTCTGACACACCATAGACCCAACCGCTTTAATATTCAATTTATATCTGACGATGAATTTGTGACCAGTGTGTACCTTATTTCAGTTGAATATGGTTCCTGGTTCGACCATGTGAAGGATTGGGAGGAGGTGAAGAAAACCACTGACGTCCCAATACTGACGATTAACTATGAAGACATGCAAGAGGTACATGGTTTTGTTATTCTTATGTTGTTTACAAATAATAGTGTTGAGTGTGATGTTCATTGTCCGGGAAATGGGCTTGATGCCATGTGGATAAATCTCTTTACATCAATGTCTCCAGTTCGAATCCACAAATAAGTGCATTGTAAAAGTGCAAGTTAAATGTGACAAGGGCAGGCACGTTATCTAGTGTTGATGTAAAGCGCT